TTGTAATAAAAATGTCAAATTCTTCGCCCATTCAGGTTGCAAGTGATTGTGAGGAACAAGCCTCATCATTGTTAGATGTAGAATCTTCTTCCAAAAAACGTCCCCGAGTTAAAGACAAATATTGTTCTGGATCAAAGAAACCACGTACAAACCTTACAATTGTCATGAAGAAGGAAATATGTCAAAAAAAAGAGAAAACCCCGACGTTCAAGTATATAGTCAGCTAAAGCAACTGCGTAAACAAATTGTTGCAAAAAGTATTGCAGCAAAAAAACAGACATGTTTAGAGGATTTTATTAACTTCGAAAATTAAATAGAGAAACAGAATGGATGTACGGTATAGCACAGAAGTAAACGAATAAATCGAATAGTCCGCATTAACAAAGTTTTTTGGCGGAACGGAGCTCTTCGTTAAAGCGGACTTCACTGTGTATATGAATAGCGTGCCGTGTTTATATGACCCGATTTTTTAATCTATTGCAAATAGTAACTAAACGGACCATCTCCCATATCCCAGAAATTAGTTTTTTTGCCAGAGGGATAATTACTTTCAATCAGATCATGTAGCACTGTTGTAAATAAAGACGTCTCGATTTCAATATAAAAGAATGCATTTCCGCGCTTAGTGTTTATAAAATTGTTCAAGCATCAAACGTCATTATCATTAGCAGAGTTATTAACCAATAAATTTCTTGTATTACTAAAATGAAAAACGCATTATACTGTTTACTATATTCAGTTATATCTCCAAAGTGGGGAGGGATGACTCAAAGTTATGCATAGCTAAACATTTCATTAAACTGATTTGAATACAACCATGGTCTAACTCAATATCGAGTGAGAATTACTGTAGTAGCCGTACAATATCTACACTTAGAACAGGTTTGGAGAGCATAAGTATTCCTGATCCAATTGAGCGTGTCGCCAAATCACTTAATTCTCAGGTCCAAGTGACATTTCGGACAGGGAAGACAATTGTCACTAATAGATAAAGGTTTGACCGTGAATATGTGACGCTTGAGACGTTTTAGTTTTTGATCTTTCTAAAGAATGTGAAAAACGTTGACTCTTATTGAGCTGTAATAATAAGCTAACGGTATTAACATTAAAGCGAATGCAAATCTGTTGTTCGGTCAATTATTATTATTTACAATAGATATTATTATACACGATATCGAGGCGAGGTTTACTATAGAAACTTCTTATAACGAACGGAATTAAATAGAACTGGTTCATAAATTCATAAACTCAACCTTTAAGCACGACTCTAGCAAACCATTTTTTTAATTCAATTTTCTGGCTTCCAGGATAACGATTTGAACATTTTAGATTACTGAATGAAACAGCGGGCAAAAAAAAGTCATTTAGACTAAATAAGAATATTAGCTTCAGTGAAAAGGAGGGGCGCGGGACATTTTACGTGACTATTTGTATAGTGTTTTAAGACATCTCGTAAGCGTATGATGACGGTAACCATTATTCACAAGAAGTTATAGTATCGACAGCAGGAAACAACACCTTGTATTTTTTTATAGCGCCGTCTTATCAATCCTTACATATATCAAATTGATGCAGTATAACTGTAAATAGGGTTCCTGGATAGATGTTAATATCATAATCACCCATTTGAGATCAATGCTAGTAAAAGTATATACGGCTGCTTAAGGCAGGCAAATAGATAATAGATATCGCTTAGTTGCGTTTTCCCCCGTTTACAACAATGCGATGATTGTTATCTACGCTAATTATACTTTTAACTGAGACCGTGAGTCAATAACTGTTTGTTGCCGAAACTCTGATTCCATTTCAAAAGATCATTAACATCTTTCAGCCAGTCGATTCCCGTATTTGTACGGCTAACAGTCGGAACCGGGTATGGTGACATTTGGACCTTTATTGTTTTTTTTTGCGTGAAAGATAAGTAAATTAGCGATAGAATCGCATAAGAAAATCTACACCTCAAGTTGTGATTAATAATGCGATAAAGACAATTACCTCTAGATATTCTCCTTTTGTCAAGTTATAGACTTCTCGACCATCAACCGTCATTTCCGTACTGCTTCTGCTGGAATCACCTATCTAGTTAAAGACCATACTAAAGTCAAATGCTTTAAACGCGATTAATCCTCCATAATTAAAATAAACTCATTCCAGGCTTACGCGAAGTTGGATAACAGCATTGGGTGGTAGAATGACGGGTCTAAATGATAACGATCTGGGGCAAATCGGTGTCAGCAACAAGGATTGTACCGAAGGATGAATAATTGGACCGCCTGGAATAGAAAATTCGCATTTTGTAAAATCCCATATCGAATGGATACGATATTATTAACGTACCTGCAGAAAGCGAATATGCAGTCGATCCAGTTGGAGTGGCCACGATCAAGCCATCCGCCTAATGTGATAATGACGTACAAAGTTTAGGTACGCGTCTAGTTTACAAAATGATCGTGTGTACAAACTGACCACAGCATCAGTCCAAAATTGCCCATTTACGAAACAATTGATAGCTGTAAGATGCGGGTATCGTCCTCTATGAAGATTTACTTCATTCATCACCTGAAAATCCGCTGTAAAAAAAAAAGCGTCAGATGTTTTTGTGAATCCAGTATAGTAATTAGGGACTTCCAGACTCGTCAGAATGTCTTACGTATGTTTTTTCCGTTTCTTTGTAGCCTCTTTCCATCTTTATCCCACAATGAACATAATAATCGCATTCGAAGTGCCAATGAGACTTCGCCTTGCATCATTTCTTCAAGCATTGTCTTATATTGATGAAATTCTGTCGAGAAATAAAATTAATTCGCGCCTCTACAAGACATTCGTTTTGCCTTCTGGGGACGCGCGCTTTTATGATTGACGTACAAAATATTCTCTTTAGAATTCATACTTACGAAATGGCATCAAGAATCCGAGCGTTCCCATCGAAAATGAAACCACGGGTGGAACGGCCGAATCAAACAAAGAAGATACATGAAGCATGGTTCCGTCTCCTCCTAGACTAATTACAAAATCGACTATTCTGGTATACTCTGCTTTCTGGTCTTTTGAATAATTCAACAATTAGAACATAAAGTAAGAAGGAAAAGTAGTTCGAATAAAAATATAGATATAAAAGGGACACCTTACGTGAACCAGGCGGGGCGACTTTTACAAATGGGAGCTCGTTTTCTGACTCTTCTACCACTTCCTTTTCAACGACAATATTCACGTACGGAAAGTTTTCATAAAGCCATCTACAGAAATCGAACACTCAACTCTGATTAAAAACTGTGAGGACGTTTGAATCGCATCGATTGTGCCCAACATACGTTGCAATCTCGACCAAAGCGGAATGCGTTGTTCTGCTAAACTGTTTCCGAACAATTAATATAGTCTTTGGTGGTGATACCCAATTTATCTTGTAATTTCCCCTGAAATTATCAGGATGGTTTAGTTATGCTCGATCAGATTTGACAAAGAATTCAACGGTCGTTTGCATAACGGCTAACCCATAAGTGCATCCAACATCCTGCTACGAGAGAAGC